ATCACAAGAAAACAAATAAGATAAGGTCAAGATAATTATAATAGCAACTGCAATGAACTTCTCAGAATATAACTTGACTCCCAAAAGCTTAACATACTCTTACTATCAACTCTTACTTCGTCTTTCTCAATAAATAAATAAATTATCAACTCTTACTTCATACAATTTGCTTCAAGCAGCATGTAATGCTTAACACTAGCACCACCTTCTTACCTCATCTGGAACCTTTAATATTCACGTAAGCCACCTGATTCTGTGTCCAACCAAATACTGGAAAATGATCTAGAAAATAGTTTTCTAAAGTAAGGCAATTTTCACCAAAATATATTTTCCATTAAACATTTACCAATACACGTGCACACAGTATATGAGAATATTCCCATTATTTGGCACACATTTAAGGGGAAATAAATTAATGCAGTAGTTCTGGTATTGACGGTCCTGTTTTATATCCTATTTTTTAAAACTTATATGACAGTCCTTTTAGAAATATTCATCCGAAACACTTAAAATGTGGTATTACGTGAAGGTGGGCTTGTCAGTTCCCCCCTTCCCCCCCTCCCCCCCAACCTTTTCTCTCATAAGGAGAAACAGGCTGATCCCTGACTAATCCTGATCTGTTCTATAGATTTTTAAGTGTATAGTCTTCTATAACTTCTTTCTGTTGGTATTAGCTTCTATTGTTTGGGTTTTAAGGTAATCTCAACTAGCCTAGGTATAGTCCTTCCAGTTTTTCCTTCATTTACTTTTGAACCAATTCTTTGATTTTGATCTGCAAAATTGCAGTGCCTATGAATTTGGTCTTGTAAGTTGGGGATACTTCTACTGTGCACAATCTGGACAAATGTTCCAAACTTACCAGAATGTTCAGAGTTTGCCTTTGTTTTTTTTTATTTGAATTGAGTTATTTCCTGTTTTTTTGGCAGTCTATCAAGACCAGATGGTCTAAAAGATTCTGTGGGTCATATTTCTAATTCTGGACATTCTGATACTGTGAAATTGGGTGATGCTAAGCATTCAGCATGTATTAATTAGGAGGGGATCAGCTGGTGTTGTGGGTTCTATGATGCTTTTGAAATCTCAACAGAACATGCATGCTCCATTTACACAGGTTGGTTTATTTGAATTGCTAACATCGTCTTTATTTGTTTCATTTGCGTCTTTTACTGTCCAACCTTCTCTTGTTTCTGGTGCACAATATTAAAGTTTTTTCTTTTATTCTGAAAAATTCCTATAGGAGCCGCCAGTTATGACCGAAGATATGCATGAAGAACGTCTACAAGCTGTTGAAGCATTAGGCGATTCTTTTGTGAGCACCAAACTCTATTATCGACAATTCAATTTCCTGAAAGATAATCATCAATTTTGGTGGTATTACTATCCCTACAGCAGGTCATTGCTTCTTGTTGTTGAAATGATTGGTGCTTATTTTGGAAAGTCTGAAGTAGTAGTCATAATTGAATGGTTAGGTGCATAGTGGGATCAGGTATATGTTTTCTGATTTTTTGTTTTGACAGCTCTTAACCTGTTCAAGAAGAGAAATACTATTACCTTCTCACCATTCTATGGATCTTCAGTACCGGGGTCTGGTTATGAATTGTGAAACCACCTTATCCATATTTTGAGATTGCTAGTAGGTTTGCTAAAGATGATTGGGCACATGATGACGTTTGGAACAAAAGTGTAAAGAGCCATCTTAGCAATCCCTTGATCCTTAGACGCGTCTGACCTCACAACTTTTCCTTAATGCTAATGGTTTTCTTGACTAATTTTCTTAAGAAATATTCAATTACAATCTGTAACCATATGGGTCTCTCCAGAAGGTCTGTACCTGGATTTGCACTGTTGTTGTGACTACTAACTTCAATGTTGTTAGACCTACTTTTTAGCCCACCATTTTTATTTTAGCTCACGGAGTATCTCTAAAATATTGTTCCACTTCGGAGAGTAGCAATCTTTGTTTAGAATGCAAAGCTAAAGAAATATGGAGTGAGCTACAATTGGTATTTCTTGAACAGAAAACTCTCTTCTACCATTCTCTGTTTGGCTATCATAATCATACTGCTGTTTGGAGTGGAGATCTGCAGATGTTTCTTGTATCGTATATTCCTAGGATGAAAACAGTTGTTTCCAGTAAATCTATCATTCTGCTGCTTTACCTAAAAGCCTCACCTTGAACGGTAATACTTTCATTTCATCTGACGATGGAAGTTTCTAATGTTCCTTTACAGAGCTTTTCGGCTCAACTGGAGAAAGACATTTTATCATCAGGTACTGACTTCTGTGCTTATTTTCTTGAAAGGCCTTCCTTGCTGTTCTGTCTTTTGCATCATGTCCATGTTCATGTAATGGTATTTTCTCAGTGGTCGTTAAAGTGGAATTTCATTTTACCATCCGAGAAATGCCGATATTTCTTGAAGATCTCTGACTTGCATTGTACTGAGAATTTGCAAACATTTGGAGAGTTTTATAATGCAAAGATTTTGTGCCTAAAGCTAATAACTTTTAGCACATTTTTTGCCTTTGATATTTGTCAACCTCATGGTTTACAGACAGCAGAGCACTGTTGTTATTACCCTTCTTATTTTTTTAATGTTGCAGCTATATATATTATTAAAAAAATGACATAGGCACAGTCACTAGCTGAAGGATGAAATGAGGTCCATTTGCTCTCAGCTTTTCTTCTGAACAGACATTTGCATTTTGCATCTCATTGAGAATTTTGAAGTCATTCGTTTCTTGATATGACTCATCTAGCCTTCCACACTGTTCCTGTGTCACCTTACTATAGAACAAACATAGAAACAAGAGCTAATAAATGTCAAAAAGTTGCATACTAGCAGCTTTACTCCTCACTGTCTCGGAGACAACATTTGATGATTAGGAATTCTCAAAGAATTAAGGATCTCTGATCAATGTTAGTTAATGCTCTGTCAATTTTCAAGTGCAGTTACCCTTTGCAGCTACCTATTTGTAAATCAAATGTTTGATTTGTTTTCCCTGTCAATTATCTAGTCTGCATATCTAGTGGTGTGGATCACATGAAATGTACTCTTTCAGAAAATTATTTGCTTTCTAGGTGTGCAGATCACTTGAATTAATCTCTCCTTCATGAACTCATCCTTGATAATCCTTGCACTATGAACTAGATATGTCTGTATTTAAAGCAGCAAATCCAGATGTGTTTTTGAAGATTTCATCCGATGGCATTCACCTAGAGACTGGGAGAACAATGATAATATGGACAGTGGAGCATCTCACGATAATGCAATCAAAGGGTTAACGGTTGAGTGGCCCCCTCGAGGAAAGCTTTCAGAAAGAATGTCTGAGTTTGGCAATTCGTGGAGAAAGATTTGGAATGAGGCACCTCCTTTGCCCGCTTCTGAACAGAAGCCTCTCTTGGATCCAAATCGAGAAGGAGAAAAGGTATTCTGAGATGCTTATAGGCATAAATTCCTGCGTTACAAATTATGCTTTGGGGAAAAGTTATCTTCAAGATATTAAATCATTATTTGTCACCCTTAAAAATCCATTCTAATATAATCAAGAGAATTACAATTAGGTAATTGGACAAATTGCATTTTTGATCCACGAGTTAAAATTTGGAGATATTTTTGCTACAAGACATAGCTTAAGGTGAAACATACCCACTTATTAATTTGGGGGGGAGCTGCACAGGTTTCTCGCAAATTAAATAACTCCCTCGGCTTCATACAGCCTTTTACCTATCTCTTCGAGAGTCCTTTCTTTATCCCCTTAGATGTTCAAACTTTCCTTCACAGCTTGCAACCATTCTTATCATTTAACTTCCATGAATCTCTTGAGGAGGAGGGTTGATCAGGTTTTTTAGAGCTGGGGACGAGTTTAGGGCATATGGCGGGAGCAGCTAAGATATTTTTCCATGTTAATTGTCAAGTTTGATGATAATTTTCTACTACAAAGATTTCAATTCAATACAAATATTAATTTGAATTCAGTTCACATAATTCATTTAGACATTGTGCAACAAAATCATATTAAAAAATTTAAAAAGGAGGAGTCTGAAACTTCAAAGAAACAAGAACTTAAAAATGTTAATTACCTGATGTATACACTACAAAATATCTGTTAAATTGCGGCGGTTTATTTATAGGGTTTATACAAAACCTCCACCATACATTTATTTTGTAGCGTTTGTGTCAATCCCCACAAAATAATTCTTTTTATGGCAGCTTATTTGTGAGGGTTGTAGAAGACCCCAATATATATTTTATTTGTGGCGTTTTTGTTCTAACCTTCACAAAATTATTCTTATTGTGAGGTTTCTTTTGTAAAAGTTTTTGAGACTATGTGTCATCACGACATCCTACGGAGAAAATTGAGATCGTGATAAAATTTTACAATTAGAAAGAATAAGGCAGTAGTAGCTAAATAGTAGAATGAGACAAAAAAATATATAAATATAAGTAATAAAGATCTTATTGATGAATGTTTATATATTTTTAATGCCTGGCGAATAGTAAGAAATAACTTACCTTAAGGCTATGTAAAAAATATAGGCTCGAAGGCAAGTATAAATCATTGTTGTGATATAGTACGCTTTAGATTGACCGTAAACAACACCTTAACGACCATACGTCAGGCGCGCGCAATATTTACCTGAAAGATATTTAAGCTTTATAATTATATACACATAATTNTGCGCGATATTTACCTGAAAGATATTTAAGCTTTATAATTATATACACATAATTTTTATTTTATCATTTTATTTTAGATAATATAAATTTTGAAAGGATATAAATAATACTAACAAAACTAAGCACTTGGATTTTCGTTATTTTCATCATACCAGTTAAAATATTATTGCATTTATCTAATATAGAGATTTTAGCAATTTTATTGATGCCAAAAATATTTTTGTTATTAAAAACAAAAATTAATTTTCTCAACTAGTTTGGTTTTGCTGCTTAAAATTTTCATTCTTGTTTGCTCCAAAAACAGACGCGGTAATTTCTCCCTCCCATTTCAAAAAATTTCCCAAATCTTTCCCTCTTTTAATTACACTATGCCTCAAGGTTTTCTCTTTTCAACAATTCGGCTGAACTGCCTTCTTCCCTGTGACTTCCTTTCGCTTCAATTGCTTCAGGTACGTTCTTTCTTCATCTGCTTCAATTTTGATCTAGTTTAATTACGTTTAGGTATTCTTCTTCTTCTCAATTTATGGCTCCTACATTGACTTTTAAGATAAGGGATTACGTATTTTCCGTTGCCCCAATGTTTCAGTTTAATGGTTTTTTATTCAATTATTTTCAGGCTTGAAGGATGACAGGGGTTTTTCTGAAGGGAAGTATCTTTTTGGGCAAATTAACTTTAGAATGCCGCTACTCGTATTAAGGTGGTTTTTTCCTTTTCTCTTAACTCAATTTGTTTTCTTTATCTCAGTAGTCATGGAATTTGTGATTTTCAGTTGTAGTTTAGTTATTGCTTGAATCAGTAATAAAACCTTTATGGACAATCTGTCTTGGAATAGTCCTTCTTGAAGAATATTATTGAGTAAATCTTGTTAAATATATATGCTTCAAAATATATGAATACTTTAAACAAACGGTACCTCCGCTATTAGATCTTTTACTTTTGGTTACAGATTACCAAGTGTTTCTGTAAAGAGCTTTTCACTTAACGTAAAGCTTTTTCAAATTCCAACCATAATTTAATTATGTTGTATGATGTTAAAATTGCTTGAAGAGACCCATATATTAATAATTGTGCGAGAGCACATCGGGATTCTTCAGACAGGGTATTTGCTAATGTTATCTCTAACATCTACATTGGAAAATCTCAAAAAACTACATGGTCTTTAGTATCTCTTTTACTTGCTAAGGTCTTACAGTGAATTTTAATCTTGGGGATTTTTGGGTAGGTTAATTATTAGTATACCACTGATGCTTAATTTATTTTGAAAAAAAACAGTGAACTATAATTTTTTATTTGGTTACTAGAGATAGAGAGCGAAGAACCTGAGCCTTACATTGAAGCATCTCAAGCACAAAAGGTGTATTATGTAGATGATGTGTTGTGCATCCATAGCCAAAAGATTTAATTTGTATGATATGTGAGAAGAGATGGAAGAAGAAATATACTAGAATGAGACATATCAAAAGCAAGAACTTGAACACTTTTTGGCCATGTGACGAGTATGTACAACTAGTTACATACCATCTAATTGATGATGTAGTAAAGAGAAATGTTGTTTCTGANAATAATGTAGTAAAGGGAAATGTTGTTTCTGACTTTATTAAATATGTGCCCTATCTGAAGGTAACAATAATTAAGTAGTTCTTTTTTTTTTTTTTTGATTTATAGGTATGCTTAGAATGGTATTCATATTTGATTTAAAAGTATGTTTAGAAATGATGTTCATATATGATTCACCCCTTTTTATTTGATTCACCTCTTTTTAAATTTATGGTGCTCATGTGTTTCCTTTAAGAGGATCTCTTACTATGAAGTAGTTCAAGAGACAAAAAGCTTTGTTGAAGCTAACTTGATTGGATGTTAAATTTATGCAGATTTGGTTTAAAGGATTGATGTGCTTGCATGATGACACTGGGGGTAAGTTATGTTTCTTAGCTCATCTCCTAAATTTTCAATTCTTTTACTTCTTTTCCTAGATTATATCAAGTAACCAAATTTGTTTCATATTTGTAGTTGTTAGTTCCTCTAGAAATGAGATATTGAGGTAAGCTAGTAGTATATATTTTTAATTTATTCCAGAATTTTTTTTGCACTTTTTGTTACTTTTGTTTGAAGTTAGCTCCAAAAGATTTTAATTTTTGTTATATATATTAGTCTCAAGTCATTTAAATTGTCACGACTCAAACACCCCTCCGAAATATGTCGTGACGGCACCTAATCTCTACGACTAGNGCACTTTTTGTTGCTTTTGTTTGAAGTTAGCTCCAAAAGATTTTGATTTTGGTGTGGTTTGATTTAATTTGATAAATTAATTATTGGTTTATTTCACAGTTCCAGCATAGTGATATGCAGAGTGAGTCTGCTTCACTCATGGGAGGAAGAGTATCACGAGGTGACAACAATACAGATCACCAAGCAAATACATGTCACTTTTATATATTTATTTATTGTTGACCTACTCTAGATTGTAAAATGTTCAAGCTATCATATACCGTATGTATTGTATGAACTTGAATTTGTGATGTTGGTTTGTTTAGATACTTTTAATGGAATTAGATTTACGGTGTATTTATTGAATCCTAGAACTAAAATTTTGAATAGAAAAAAAATATTCTGGCAGTTATAAGCTGCCAGTATTTAATTTTTTTTAAAGATTGAGATAGAAATTGTGGGGGTTTATAACTCTCACATAATATTTTTTTAAAACATTGAGATCATATTTAGAAGGTTATAAACCGTCACTGATTGCCTCTAAAACCTCCCACAAACTATAAATTGATTTTGTGACGGTTGTCGTGGAGGTTCTTAAAAACTCCCACAGAAATGCTTGTGGCGAAGGTAACTGTGACATTTTTTAAATCCGCCACAATATATTTTGTGGAGGTCAAAAACTGCCACAAATCTTTAAATTAACCCCCACAAAATGAGCTCTTTCTTGTAGTGATAACATTTCACATGGAAATTGAATCCTTCCTCAATGATTTATAACTTCAATTGGTTGAAATATTTTCATCTGAAAATAGAAATTTGCAAGTTTCCAGCTTCTTTTACAAGGAAGAAAGGACCTGAAATGTCTTCATAAAATTTTAAAAAAATAAAGGACCTGAAATCTGCCTGTTTTAGCTTAAGATATTTTCCAACTATCCAAACAGTAACACAAAACTCGATATTCGTAGTGTTCGTCCTTTTAATGTTTCAGCATTTTCTCCGCATATAATATCTAATAATAACAATAACAAATCCAGTCTAATCCCACAAGTGGGGTTTGGGGAGGGTAGTGTGTACACAAACCTTACCGTAGGTAGAGAGACTATTTTCGGTAGACCCTCGACTCAAGAAAAGGTGAAGAAGAGAAAGGAAGAAGAAGAAAGAAAAAGAAGAAGAAGAAAGAAGGAGGCGGAGGAGCACCAAACAGTAATACAGAAAAATAAAATAACTGAAGGGAACGAAACAACAAGGTGTAAATAGAGCTCTAAGAATATGAAAATACAAGAGTGCTACTAATACTACCGGTAATGAAAGGGGAAACTCTCGACTACCTACGAACCTTCTATTCTAATTCTCGACCTCCACACCCTCCTATCAAGGGTAATATCCCTATATAATATATAATTAGCTAAAAGTTGAAACAAACCCTCTATCCCTAATTCTGCTATGGGTCAAGAAAGTCTTGCCTAGGGAAAAAGTATGGCAAAATGAAGCTATAGAAATATGTATATATCACAAGATAGCGGTAAGGTCTGCATACACACTACCCTCCCCAGACCCTATGGTGTAGAATAATACTGGGTATGTTGTTGTTGTTGTAATATTATTAGTATTATTTATGCACATTAACTTACTTTTTACTTTCATTTTTATTTTGTATGATGATGACATGAGTTGAGCTTAAATGGAAGAAACATGGTCAGTGAGAATTCATATAGTCGAACCCAAGTTATTTGGACTGAGGCATAGTTGTTTTTGTTGTTGCACCCACTTGAATTGAAGCTGGTGAATTGAGGAGTTGCAGAACTATGGATATACCACTTACTTGATGTTGTCGAATTGAAGATCGCCAAAAATAGTTGGAGTCTGAATATTTTTAAGAGATTCTTAGAGACTTAGTTAGGAGGAGGAGAATTGAGAAACAACAAAGGAATAGGAGAAAAAGAAAAAAAAGATGGATCGTCTAAAAAATATGTGAGTTACCTTTAACGATATATGGCCTTGTCATAAAGAAAGCCCTAAATGGGCAAACCTTCAACCAAGGTACCCACAGGTGCTTTATTGCTACGGGGGCCAACCTTACCATATAAAAAAATTATAAGAATTATATACACATAAAACAAAACTCTTGCCAAGTTGGTGGGTGCCCGAGACCCTTTGTCTTCAACTTAGTTTCGCCTCTACAGGGTACTGTCAGATATAGGAAATAACTTTCTTTTAATCGAGAGATCAACTAGAATGCTTCATGAGTGTTGCCCTGAGATATGTGACCTTGGAGTTTCAGAAGATTATTTTAAAAAGTCCCTCTCTATTGTGCTCTCTAGAGCTTTTGGTAAAAGTGCCATAATGATGTACTTCGATGCCTTCGGTTGAAGTGATTTCATATATGTACTTCACAAGTGTTACTTGAGTGCACACGATTCAAGGCACGGCAATAAAAGCAGTAATGACGCATTTCCTGGGGAAGGTGTTAGAAATAACATTCTCCACTTGTCCGTTTGTACGAAAGTGTCAAGCTTTATGAACATGATTCAATGGCAGCTTGCCGGGGCAAAAGTTCCTATATAAAGGCATCCACTCCCTAGGGTTATTCTAATGGTGCCCTAGGTAATGTTAGATAGTTATGTAAATAATATGAATTAGTCCTAGTCCCACATAGAACAGGAGTAGGATATGTATTATATAAATATGGCTCGTTGTATTATAATTAAACAGAATATCAATAATATATTTTTTCCCTTATTTTCTCACGGGTAAGAAACCTATAATGGACAAACATTCAGTGACTTGGGGATATGAAATATGGGCCACATTCCGCCAGTAGGGGATTGATGTTCCCCATATGGTGTCTTGTTTCGTCGTGACAAATATGGCGATATTGCTCAAAGGGATGTGACATGCAGTCATTTGCCCATTGAAGTTTCCGTTGAAACGGACATTTTCCAGACAAATGAAACCAAGGTCAAGTGAGGTCTCTTCAGATGAAGCAACCTTCTGGCCTCTTATTAGGATCTTAAAAGTAAATACCTAGGAGTACACATTTATTTAGATTTTTTACCACGAAGTAGCATGCGCTCATCTCCAATAGTTGGTCTTTAGACAGCCTATCCCTTTTACATTGATCTCTTGATTTTGAAAGTAATTTGTATTCTTCAACTGACCTAGGTTCTTCACTATTTGGAAACACTGCGGCCATGTCAACTACTGGAGCAAATGGTTTGTACTGCTTTTAGGGCAGCTGCAGACACACTAAACAGAACAACATTTGGTGGTTTAAAGCAGCTGACAACCAAAATTGGACAACTTAACCTCACCATGGCAGCCACTCTCAGATGCTTGCAAAATAAACTTGTCAATCAAGTATGTTATTGCGTTATAGTAGGTCTTTGCAAGCTTGTAACTGGACAGTTTTGGCTTTCTGTGTTACAGCAAGTAATCTTTCTATTGACACTGAAGATATTCAAGACTTGAAGCGGCTTTGTGCAATATTTGAACATGTCGAGAAGTTGATCACACTTGCTGCATCGCTTTATCCCAAGTTCATGAATGCCCCGCGTCTATTAGAATCAATTTTCAATGACTGCTACAACTTTTATGCACCAAGAATGGGAACAGTCTCAACTGTCAGTGAAGTAAAAAAGGTATACTTAACGTGTTTTCTCTTTTGATTTTTCATGAATGAGAGATTAATATCTGGGTCAAGAATATGTTATGCTTGTGCTGAACTACTTCGAAGGCATACAACTTTTGGTCCATCACTTTAGCCTTCATGGCCAGTCCTTTCTGTTTTCTTGTATTATTTCCATGGACTAGTCCACTTTACACAACTCTCTTTTGCCTTGTTATTTGCTTAAGACTTTCGTCGTTCATCTCTTAGGATTTCGATAAGAAACAAAAGGTTGGGCGACGTGAAAGGGAGATAGCGGCAAGCATGTTCACAACTCCCATCGCTAACCAATCATGGAGGAAAGTGTTAAGCATGGGAAATCTTCTAAATGGCCATGAACCAACCTTGAGAGAGATCATATTCACCAAGCATGGCCACCTTAGTGAGAATTACTATGGTGGTCATGCTTATCAACACGAGTTAGAAACATACAGAATGTACATAAGCGGAACCTCAAATGATCTTAGTGTAGCACTAGCAGTTGCCTCTTGCGATTAGACATTTCAAGAAAAGGAACCATGTAAAATAACCCACTGTCACTCGATCCATGACCAATTAATGAAGTGGAGACATCCCTCAGCTAAGCCAACCAATGTAGGAAGATTATATTTGCATAACATGGACATGCCATGGTGGAACAAGTTTCACATTGTCACATTTTTTTCCCCTCTCTTCGAATTAGCTATGTTCTTATTCTCTCTGTTTTTCCTTTTATTTTTTTATTTTTTTTATAACAAGTTCCATTTGGAGAAGAAAATAGAAATATATTATTCTGTGAGGATCTTTACCAGCGAAATATTTCTCATGACAATTGGACAAACTGAACCAAGTAGCCATAGCAAGCGACTTATCTTTCATAAAGTCTCTTCAAAGATAAACTTTTGCAATAAATACAAAATTAATATTATATTTACCCAGTGTAGCCAGGTTTTTCTATTTACAAAAAGTAGTTAGTTTTTTTTATAAAATATATACAAATTTGATCAAAACATACAACTTATATACAATTTGGTCAAACACATATAACTTGCATATAGTTACATTAGTTGTGTATATTTTTTTATGTGGTTTGCACACCCGACATATAAAATATATATAATTTATTTTTGTCGTTCTCTTCGAATTTCAATATGAATTTGAATCAAAATTAACTTAAATCTTCACCAAATTTACTTAAAATTGAGATATAAACTCCAAAAGATATTTTCAATCATTTGAAACAACACCTAATTTAAACAAATAATAATTTTGTAAAACTCGATTTACAAATTAAAAGTTACGAAACTTTTTAATGGCTATCAATGGAGTTTAAGTTCGTCTTCGCGTTTCACCCATCCAAACAAAGTCTAATTATAGTTCACCTAAAACAATATGTGAAATTTTTGGTTTTACTGTTAAGTACCAATAAGATTTGTGCCAGACAACTATTCAAGCACTACAACAACAACGACAATAAAGTCGGTGCATTCCCACAACTCGCAAGTGGAGTCTACACCTGAAATTTGCAAGAGCACATGAAATTTGCAAGAGCTATCTTAAGTAGTGGTTTTTTTTTTTTTTTTTTTTTTTTTTCTTTTTGTTGTAGAAAAGGGGATTCCTTTTGTACATGCTTAGATAAGACGTACATCCCAAATGCAAAGTAATCGAAGTAGCTAACTTAATCGATTAGAGACAATATCCAATTG